AGGCTCCGGAAGGAGATGGAGGTGGGAGAGGGAAGCTCGGGCCTCCAGGCCTCGGGCGGTGGCTCCACTGACACCTGTCCCCAGGTGCTGCCCAGTGCCCTGGGGCCCGCTGCCCACCGGCCTCTGGAAACAGACCCCCCCCCGCCGTAACTGCTGGGACTCACCATCGGCAGGCACTGGGCCAGGAGCCCACTGCGGGGGATGCAGCGTGGGGTGCTGATCTCGGTCAGCTGGATACAGCACTTGGACTTGCAGTCTTTGTGGTCCTTGCAGTGGTCCCCATTTGGCTGGGGACACAGAGGCCAGAGGTGGCCGGAGCAGGCGTCCCACACGCGCCCCGCACGCGCCCGGGGCCGGTGGCCGCCATCCTCACCTTGCGCCAGGGCAAGCAGTGGAGGAAGATGGTCTTGGGCATGCAGAGCCGGACCCCGTCGTCCTTCTCGGTGGTGCAGCAGCCGCTGTGGCACTCCTGGTGGTCCTTGCACGTGTGACTGTCGGGCTGCAGGAGGAGGGGAGGCGCAGCCCGTCCCGCCCCACCGGCCCCCTCCCCGGAGGCGGAGGCGCTCGCCCCGCGGGCAGGACGCACCCTTCGCGAGGAGAAGCACAGCGTGAAGACCGTCTGGGACGTGCAGAACTTCTGAGGGTTCAGGTTCTTGGTGACACAGCATCCGCTCTGGCACTCCAGGTGGTCCCTACAGACCTCCCCAACCTGTTGCAAGGTCGCGGCCCATGTGCCTGTTCCCTGCCGCTGGAGGCCCAGCCTCCTTTAGGGGCCCCTCCCTGCCCTCCTGTGCCACCCACCAAACTGAGCTCACCTGACGAGTTTTCTGGAACATCCACAGATGCAAGTGGGAAGGAGGCCGGGGGTGAGGGAGGAGAGGAGGGAGCTAACAGCTGTCTGTGTCCGAACAAGCCGCTGGGACGGAGGGGTGGGCAAGGGCGCAGACGGCGAAGGGTCTGGGGGTGGCCGGGCAGCAGGGCAGGAGTGAGTCCAGGCGCTGGGCCAGGAGCTTCGCACGCCCTCGTGACGTTTTCCAGGTGAGAACTGAGGCTCAGAGGGGGTCAGCAACCCGAAGGGCGGGGCCGAGCAGGCCCTGGGGCTGAGGGTCAAGGCCCTCCCACCGCCAGCTTCCAGCACAGAGGCCACCAGGGCGAGCGTGGCCTTGGTCTCAGCTCTCAGACCTTTGATCTCCAAACTCTGTTACAAACTCAGAAAATTCCTGGGGGCCCCCGAAGAGCCCCTAAGGACTGTGGGCTGCGTCTGGCACTGGCACAGGGAGCCCTGTGTGTTACACACAGACTCATTCAAAAATAATAACCCCACCCTGTTGTAAGATAAATGTTTCCATGAAAAGTAGATATATTTTTCCTAAGCACGACAAAACGAGCCGTGCTGGGCAGAGGGGCGCCGTGTTGCAAGTCGGCTGGTTACGGGGCAGCTGGCCTCTCTCGCTGCACTGCCAGCTACTCCGTGGCCCTGGCGAATGCCACCACATGCCCGGCTCAGTGTCCTTAGCACTTAACGGGCCTTGGGGCCCCTGGCTGGCTCGGAGCCCACTGGGAGCCGCCGCCTGGGCCATGGAGGTCTGTGAGAGGCCTCATTTGGGGAAGCTTCGCTCGTCTCTGATGTTTTTAAAGCTCCTACTGGCCGGGAGGTCAAGCGCCACTGACCCCAGAGGCTGGCGACCAGGTGCTGGCTGTGCGGGCAAAAGATGGTGCAGCCACCTGGGGGGCCCAAGTGCACCTGCCCGCACAGGGGGCCCAGGGGGAGGGGCTGGCGGCCGGGTTGGGCCTGGATGTGGGGCGGCCAGAGGGGGCGCTCACCTTGCGGGCCGGACCTTTGTGGGGCTGGAGCACCAGGAGCTCGGGCAGCGCACACCCCAGCAGCAGCAGCAGGAGCCTGGCACGCGCCATCGGCCGCAGGCCTGTCGGTGCCCAGGTGGCCTTGCAGCGTCCCCCGGCCCAGGGCCACTCCTGCCTCCCAGGCACCCCGCATGGGCACCCACTTCTGTTCCCCTCCCGTTCCCAATCTAGCTCTTGCAAAATGGGTATTTTGAAAATTAATAGACATTATTTTGTAGAGCGGTTTCAGGGTTACAGAGGTTGCGCAGGGAGGCCCCGCCCC